GGGGCGGCCCCGCCGCTGCTCTGGCTGCCTCATCCAGTCGTCCCAGAAGGCCCTGGGCCACTTGGGCTCCAGCTCGTCCCACAGCTCCGACAGCAGCAGCCAGCCCAAGCCGGGGAAGAAGTCCGTGCGGTAGAGCAGCTCCGGCCGGCCAGCCTCCACCATCTGCTCCTTGCCGTTGTCGTTCCAGGCCGAGACGCACCAGAGGCTGGGGTCCGCCAGCAGGAGCGGGAAGGTCGCCTGGAAGTACTCAAAGAAATCGGGAGCGACTTCCAGGTCGTCCTCCACCACGATGGCTGCCTGGTACTGGAAGGTGCGGAAAACCTGGCTCAGGGCCCAGCGGTAGTGCCGGGCGATCTTGTAGTAGCCCTGGAACTTGCGGTGGTCCGTGGGCACTGGGACGTCGCTCAGGTCCGGCTGGCGATGACCCGGGCCGTCTCCTCGTGCCCGCAGTCCTGGCTCACGATGATGGGGAAGCGCTCCCGGGACGGCCGGTAGTGCAGCAGCTTGTCTAGGCACCGGCGCACCGTGGCACGGTCGCAGGCGATCACTACCACGGGCAGGACTGCGTCCGGGGAGGCCCGGGGCTGGGGCGGGACAGCCTCCGTGGCGGGGGAGCCGGCGGCGGCTGGGGGGAGCCGATCCCCCTCCTCCGCTTTCTTCATCTTCTTGCTCCAGAGGGCGCTGTAGCGGTGGATCTGCCGCAGCAGGTCCTTCTGGTGCTCCAGCTCCACTTCGGCGTCCTGGGCCAGCCGGATGACCTCCGCAGTCAAGTGGCTGTGGTCGTCGAAGGCCGGGGGCCGGGTCCACAGGAAGAAGAGGAGCAGGGCGTTCCAGGCCACGAACAGCACCACGCCCCAAAGAACTAGGCTGTTCTTCTTCAGCATCCTTCACAGGCAGAGGCCCCCCCCGTCGCTCGCGATCCCTTGGACCTGGGGGCAGAGGGGGAGGGGACGGGGAGTCAGTGACGTACAACCAAATATCAGCAACGGGTCCCCACCGCCTGCTGCTCAGGCCCCACCTGGGGACCCAGGGCTGGATTCCTCCCTCCAGACTGTCCTTCAGGCCTGCACCCAGGTAGGACAGGGGAGCAGCTTCACTGTGTGTCTATCAGGTTACGTGGCACTTGGGGGGAGAGGGAGGGACAGGGCAAGACTCGCTCCACCAGGGCCCATCCCCCCAATGGGATGGAGATGCTCCACCAGGGCCCATCCCCCCAATGGGTTGGAGATGCTCCACCTGGGCCCATCGCCCCAATGGGTTGGAGATGCTCCACCAGGGCCCATCCCCCAATGGGA